ACAGATTTAATTTTTTTTTTTTTTTTTTTTTTTTGCGGTATGCGGGCCTCTCACTGCTCTGGCCTCTGCCTCCGCGAAGCACAGGCTCCGGACGCGCGGGCTCAGTGGCCATGGCTCACGGGCCCAGCCGCTCTGCGGCACGGGGGATCCTCCCCGACCCGGGCACGAACTCGCGTCCCCTGCATCGGCAGGCGGACTCTCAACCACTGCGCCACCAGGGAAGCCCAGATTTAATTCTTGATACACGTTTTTCCACCACATCGACTGTATCTGTTTGCTGCTGAAATGGTGTGTTGTGCACATAGCTATAGCAACACTGTCTAATTTCCAAGTCCTGTCAGTTTCAACTCTCTCATTAAGGATAACTTTTGTCCCTGAGTCCTTGGCTGACTTGTTTTGTACTGTAACTATGTTTTCATATGTGAGTAATAAGGAAATATTAGTTCCTGCCTACTCTGCAGTAATCTGTCAAGGGGCCCTGCAAGGGTGTTGCAGTGTCCTGAATTCAGCAACACGTCCCAGCTTTGTGGAAAGTAGTTTGCCGATTAAGGAGAAATTACGGTTCCTTTTCCAGAATACAGACATGAGAAGGTAGGACGCAGCCCTGACGCAGGGAGATGAGGCAGGCCCGGCTCTGTTTCCATGCGGAGAATTCCACGTTTCCTCTGCACCTCTACCTCTTGGCTGCAGCGGGGCTCCCGGGGTGGTAGGTGGGCCTGCTGTGCATGTGCCCTCAGCCAGTCGCCTGTCAGGTAACGCATGCTTCCCCTTTACCACCAGATGGACGTGCACGTCCTCCAGCAGCAGCCCACAGTACAACATCTGCGAGCAGATGGTACAGATCCGGGAGGACCACATGCGCTTCATCTCGGAGCTGGCGCGCTATAGCAACAGCGAGGTGAGTGGCCTCTGCCTGCAAAGCGCACCCGGGGACTCGGGGTCTGGTGTGGCCCTTGTATTCTCTGCACCCAAATACTACCATTGATCGCTTTGAGAAACGTAGTTTGGCACTGCGTGCTTAAAAAGCACTGATAATAATGGATAAGGCAGGGCAAATGCAATGGAGTTTGTTTGGATCTGTTCAGCTGTACAAGAAAGCATCTTCTTTTTTCAGAAAAACGTTAACACGGGGCTGAGGACTGAGGTGAGACCGTGAATTAAGTGCATTTCCTAGTGTAGTTCCATGGTTCCAAGCTGCTAGGAGAGGGGTGGGGAGAGTGGAGGATGTCAGGAACAGAAGGGGTGGTTCTGACTTGCGCCCCGTTCGTGTCTAGAGGGAGAAAGTGCAGGAGCCTCTGAGTCGGTGGGCAGATGCATTGAGTGCCCAGAGGAGACCTGGAGTTGGGTGTTGGAGGAAGTGGGGTCTCTTCGGCCGTGGGCCTTGTTAATTCCTTCCAGCTTTGCAGCTGGGCTCTCTGTGTCCTTGCTTGGGCCGGTCACGTTCCCCACACCTGCCCCAAGCCTGGCTTCAGGCCATTGCTGCTTGCGCGTGGGGTGGGTGGCACGGGGGTCTGAGCGAGGGGGAGCGGCAGCAGGAGTGTCGTTTCTCACGTCTTAGTGGACCGGGCACCGAGGTCAGGGTCAGAGCGGTGGTCAGTGGCGTGGGTGCTGCAGGTGATCTAGAGGGACCCGGGGACTTGGGGCCATGTACGCAGGTCTGGTTTCCGAGATCGCGGTACCTCGGGGTTCTCAGGAGGCCCATTACATTTGGGGGGAACAATCTGTTGGTCCTGCTCATTGCAGGACAATGTGCACTCCATCCCTCACCCCCAAGCACTTGTCATCCTGTAACCAAGATGACTGAAAGACAGCCCCAATGCTTGGGGGACGTCGCCTCCTTGCGGACCCCAGGTGGGCGGCCGACTCCCCATGAGGAAGCGTTAGCTCACTCCTCTGCGGAGGCCAGTACAGCCTGAAGAGTAGAGGTGAGGGCCAGTCCCCAGGACTTCATGATTTAGTTGTAAACTGAGTTCCTGAGTTGTTCTCAGACAACACAGAGAGCTGGCTTCTACCCTTCCAAATAGGAGCACTTGACAGCATGCGTGGTTCCTGTGTGCCTTCTGGTGTCTGCTGTCGTGCCTTTATAATCAGATGATGGTTTTTTTTTTTTTTTTAAAAGGGCATATGCGTGGTTTTTTGTTTTTTGTTTTTTAAAGAAGATGTTGGGGGTAGGAGTTTATTAATTAATTTATTTATTGTTGCTGTGTTGGGTCTTCGTTTCTGTGCGAGGGCTTTCTCTAGTTGTGGCAAGCGGGGGCCGCTCTTCATCGCGGTGCGCGGGCCTCTCACTATCGCGGCCTCTCTTGTTGCGGAGCACAGGCTCCAGACGCGCAGGCTCAGTAGTTGTGGCTCACGGGCCCAGTTGCTCCGCGGCATGTGGGATCCTCCCGGACCAGGGCTCGAACCCATGTCCCCTGTATTATGAGGCAGATTCTCAACCACTGCGCCACCAGGGAAGCCCTTAGATGATTAGATGATGATTTTAATAAGAAAGAAGAGATCCACCTTTAAAAGCTTTGCACAGTTTACTTTTAAACAGATTTATGAAGACATAATCCACATACTAGGCAATTCTCTGATTTAAATTATACAATTCAAAGGGTTTTAGTCCATTTCTGAACATTTTCATCATCTCCTGGAGCAACTCTGCACCTATAGCAGTCACTCCCCATTCCCCTTCCTTCTAGCACGTGGCGATCTACTTTCAATCTATGGATTTGCCTACTGGACATTTTATATAAATGGAATCATAATATGTGCTCCTTGGTGACTGGCTTTTTTCATTTGACATAGTATTTTCAAGGTTCATCCATGTTACAGCATGTATCAATAATTTCATGGCTTATTTATAATATTTATAATAATTTTATGGCTGAATAATACTCCGCTGCTTGGACACACCACATTTTGTTGGTTTGCTCATCTGCTGTTGACTGATGGACAGTGGGTTACAAATAATGCTACTGTTAACATCCATGTACAAGTGTTGTGTGGACATAAGGTTTCATTTCTCTTGGGTAGCTATCTAGGAATGGAATTGCTGAGTCTTATGGCACCTCTGTGTTGAACACTTTGAGGAACTGCCAGGCTGTTTTCAAGGCGGTTGCACTATGTTACACCCACCAGCAGTCTGTGAGTGTCTGATGTCCCCCCATCCTTGCCAGCACTTGTTACTGTCTGTTTTATTGATTCTGGCCATCCTAGTGAATGCGAAGTGGTATCTGGTTGTGGTTTGGATTTGCATTTCCTTAATGACTAATGAAACTGAGTATCTTTTCATATGCTCATTGGCCAGTTTTTAAAAATTTGTCCTGAAGTCATTTGCCCATTTTTAAATTGGGTTATTTACCTTTTTTTTACTGTAGAGTTGTGTGAGTTCTTATATTCTATCCCTTATCTGTTATGTGATTTTCAAATATTTTCTTCTGTGTCTTTTTGCTGTCTTGATGGTATCCTTTGAAGCACAATTTTTTATTTGTGATGTGGTCCAATTTTATCTATTTTTTCTTCGGTTGTTTGTGCATTTGGTCATAATGAAGAAACCATGACCTAACCCAAGTCACAAAGATTTACCCCTTGTTTTCTTCTAAGAGATTTGTAGTTTTAGCTCTTATATTTAGATCTATGATCCATTTTAAGTTACTTTTTTTTTTTTTTTTTTGCGGTATGCGGGCCTCTCACTGTTGTGGCCTTTCCCATTGCGGAGCACAGGCTCCGGACACACAGGCTCAGCGGCCATAGCTCACAGGCCCAGCCACTCTGTGGCATGTGGGATCATCCCAGACCGGGGCACGAACCCGTGTCCCCTGCATCGGCAGGCGGACTCTCAACCACTGTGCCACCAGGGAAGCCCTAAGTTACTTTTTGAATATGGTATAAGTTAAGGGTCCAACTTCATTCTTTTGTATGTGGATATACAGTTTTCCCAGTACTGTTTTCTTGTTTGTTTGTTTTTGCAGTACCTGGGCCTCTCACTGCTGTGGCCTCTCCCGTTGCGGAGCACAGGCTCCGGACACGCAGGCTCAGCAGCCATGGCTCACAGGCCTAGCCACTCCGCGACATGTGGGATCTTCCCGGACCAGGGCACGAACCTGTGTCCCCTGCATCGGCAGGCAGACTCCCAACCACTGCACCACCAGGGAACCCCCCCCCCCAGTACTGTTTTTAAAATACCATTCTTTCCCCACTGAAGGCACCCTCAACAGAAATCAACTGACTGTACACCTCCATGTTCATTATAACATTATTTACAAGAGCCAAAGCAAAGAAACAGCCTAAGTGTCTATAGAGAGATGAATGGATAAAGAAAATGTTGCATACAGTATGCAATGGAATATTATTCAGCCATACAAAAGAAGGAAATCCTGGGACTTCCCTGGTGGTCCAGTCGTTAAGACTTCGCCTTCCAATGACAGGGGTGCAAGTTCGATCCCTGGTCAGGGAGCTAAGATCCCACATGCCTCGTGGCCAAAAAAAACCCAAACATAAAACAGAAGCAATATTGTAACAAATTCAATAAAGACTTTAAAAATGGTCCACATCAAAAAAATCTTAAAAAGAACAAAATCCTGGCATTTGTGACAACATGGATGGACCTTAAAGGGCATTATACTAAGTGAACTAAGTCAGATAGAGAAAGACAAATACTATTTAATATCACTTTATGTGGAATCTAAAAAAAAACAAACTCATGGATACAGAGAACAGATTGGTAGGTGCCAGAGGCAAGAGGTGGGAGAAATGGGTGAAGATGGTCAAAAGGTACAAACTTTCAGTTATAAGATAAATAATTTCTGGGGATGTAATATACAGCATGGTGACTACAGTTAACAATATGGTATTGCATATTTGAAAATTCCTAGGAGAGTAAATCTTAGAAGTTCTCATCACAAGAAAAAAAATTGTAACCATGTGAGTTGGTGAATGTTAACTTACTGTATAATCATTTCACAATATATGCATATCAAATCAAATCATTGTACACCTTAAACTAATACAAAGTTGTGTGTTAGTGTGTCATTTATTTCTCAGTAAAACTGGGTGATGGGGGGAATCAATTGATTCTACTCCTGAGGCTTTATTTCTGGGCTGTCAGTTCTGTTCCATTGACCTTTTGTTGGTCCTTATGCCACTACCACACTGTCTTGATTTTACAGTTTTATAGTAAATCTTAAAACCAGATAATATAAGCCCTACAGCTTTGTTCTTCTTTTTAAAGTTTGTTTTGTCATCTTTGTCAAGATTATTTGTGGATCCTTTGCATTTCCATATGAATCTTAGGATCAACTTGTCAATTTCTACAGAATAAGGCACCTGGAATTTTAATAGGAATTGCCCTGAATCTGTATATCAGTTTGGGGAGTATTGCCATCTTAACAAGATTGAGACCTCCAATCCATGAACATGGGGGATATCTTTCCATTTGTTTAGTCCTTCTTTGATAACTTTCAAAAATGTTTGATCATTTTCGGAGTAGGAGCTTTGTACTTATTCTGTTACATTTATTCCTAAGTGTTTTATTCCTTTTGATCCTATTGTAAGTGGACTTCTCTTTTTAATTTTATTTTCAAGTTGTTTGCTCAGTTTCTTTTGACTAGAGGGTAAGGATTTGTACTGAGCAGGGACAGCGGCTGGGTTTGAATAGTTCATGAGAATGTCAGTGTAGCTGTGCACAGACCCTGAGTCCTCAAGAGCCCCCAGATCTCTTCATTTTCTAACAGTGACCAGAGCCAGGTTCTGGGTATAAATTTTTTTTGTTTGTTTTTTGTTCAGTTTATCCATTACGTAAATTTTCAAGCATACAAAGGAGGAGACCAGTCCTGGCCCCTCAGGTGCCACACTGAGCTTAATCACTCGCCCCTTTTCAATTATTCCTCCAACCCTGTGCCTCGGTCTGGGTTAGCTTGAAGCAATCCAAGATAACATAGCACTCTCTCTGAAAGTATTTCCCATGTGTCTCTGTAAGATAAGGGCCCTTTTTAACATATAACCATAATACCAGCCCACCTAAAAAAAAAACAAATGTATTCCCTAATATTAAATAGTGGGTCATTGTTCAGATTTCCCGTTTGCTCATTATCATTAGTGGTGTATTTTTCCAGGTTTGTGTGCCTCAGCACCCAAATAAGTTCCATACACTGCAGTTGGTTGACATGCCTGTCCCCACCATCTCCCTCATTCCCTATGGTGTCATTTGCATGACTTCTGTCCCCTGTGTGTCCTGTACGCTGCCGGCTCAGGGCCCTGATCAGAGTCAGCTCCCACTGTCCTGACCCATTTGGCCTCTTGGTGGCCATGCTGAGGGCTGCTGGAGGGTCCAGCTGACTCTCTGGGATGTGGACGGCTGCATCCCCTGCCCTGATGTGTGACTTCACCAGGCCTCAGCTTGGTGGTCCTCTCAGCTTCTTGCACCTTCCAGAGCTGGATTCCTTTGCTTTATGCATCAGGTGTTAAAATAATTGATTCCCTAGCATATCTAAAGAAACAAACCAGCTTTTTGAGTACTGTTTTCTAGTCAGTCTACTTCAGTTTCCTTCTGCCTTTTTCTTTTTTCTCCCATGGTGAAAGTCCTCGTTCTTAAAGACTCCAGCATATTTTGTTTTTTTTTTGCGGTACGTGGGCCTCTCACTGCTGTGGCTTCTCCCATTGTGGAGCACAGGCTCCGGACTCACAGGCTTAGCGGCCATGTCTCACGGGCCCAGCCGCTCCGCGGCATGTGGGATCTTCCCGGACCGGGGCACGAACCCGTGTCCCCTGCATTGGCAGGCAGACTCTCAACAACTGCACCACCAGGGAATCCCAGCATATTTTGACTAGGGTCAGATTATATGTCTCAGTATACACTCAGCAGTCTTAAAATAGTACTGGCACTGCTAATAACAATTACTAGAAATTCAGATTTTCTTTCTTTTTTTTTTTTTTTTTTTTTTTTTGCGGTACGCGGGCCTCTCACATTGCGGAGCATTGGCTCCGGACGCGCAGGCTCAGCGGCCATGGCTTATGGGCCCAGGTGCTCCGTGGCATGTGGGATCTTCCCGGACCAGGGCACGAACCCGCGTCCCCTACGTCGGCAGGTGGACTCTCAACCACTCCGCCACCAGGGAAGCCCTTCAGGTTTATTTTGCAGTTAATTTTGTCCTTAGGTTTCTTCCTCTAGGGATGTTACATCAAATCGTTATTTTTCAAAGTCACTGAAGTGGTTTGTTTTGTGTTGGTCTCAGCCTACAGATAGTGATGCCTGGACCTGTACTCCTCTTGGCAGTCCCCACAGACACCCCACCTCCAGCCCACACCAGAGCCAGTGTTGTGGCTGGACTGGCCCTTGTGATCCTCATGATTGCAACATACCCTCCGCAGTGACAATCAGGGAACTTTGAGAAAAACAAGTTTGATTACTGACAGGTCCTAGAGGGTACACAGCACACCCAGAGCCCCAAAGCGAGGTCATAGGTAGAGAGGGAGGGAGCACAGACCTGGGGCTCTGCCTTTGTCAGGGCTAGGGTTTCACAGGTTCACTGTTGGTGAATTTAAAACATAAGAGCAGGGATGAAGGTGTGGGAGTGGAAAAGCCCGGTTGGCAGTTATCTAGGTCACCATGGGCTTTCTACAAGGGGAACTTCATGGGTGGGCTGGCTCTTTATCTACTTGGGTAGCTGGCAATATGTTTATTCAAGATGGATGTCTTTGAAATGGATACCTTAATGTTAGGCACTTACCCTACATGGTTCCTCTGTGTGGTCACAAGGCCAATTCAGTCCTACACAGCTCAGTTCATTGTTTAATTTTGTGTTTGAGTTTGGGGGATTGCTTTTTCCTCCTAATTTAATTTTATATCATAATATATAAATGTTTATGTGGTTCTAAAGTCAGATCTATCAGAGGAGGTATGTTCAGAGAAGTCTGCCTTCCTCTCTACCCTCTGCTTTCCTGGCCTGTAGATAAACATTCGTAAATCTAAGTTTTCATTATTTGATATAAGCAAATAACACATGTGGGCACGTTTTCCTTTATCAGCTAAGTTAGAAACATGCTGTGTGCATGTTTCAGGAAGGACCCGGTCTGCAGACCCCTCCAGCGCAGGCTGTGGCGGCCTTTCTCAGTGTTTTGAGCTATGTGTGCCCATCATGCGGGCTCTGCAGTTGCTCTGCCTTTTGATGCACTGAAGAGTCTTGTGCTCATATCATTTTCTACTTTGTGAGTGTACATCTGGGGTAGGCTTCTAGATTGGGTTTGATAGGTGGTTTCCTGGACGTTTATGACTTCTTGATGCTCTGTCTTCTCTAGGTGGTCACAGGCTCAGGCCGCCAGGAGGCTCAGAAGACGGATGCTGAGTACCGGAAGCTCTTCGACCTGGCACTGCAGGGCTTGCAGCTGCTGTCCCAGTGGAGTGCTCACGTGATGGAAGTGGTGGGCACTCTCACTTTTATTTGGAAATGCACCCCCTAGTTAGTTAGAAGTGCTTTTCTTTCCAAACTTGACTAAATTATATTTTTTCTGCATTAGCTTTCGTCTTTGGATTGAGAACAAATTGGCTTTTTATCTTTGGCGCTAGAAATAAGAGTATATATTAATTTAAATGTTTCTAAGATGGCTCAATGTACACTTCATTTACATATATTACAAATAAAGGGCCTTTTAAAACATATTGATAGAATTAAATTTGTATTGTTTTGATGATTTTTAATTCTCATTTTTTTTAAACAGCACTCTCTGTGTATTTCTAGCCATCAGTTTCTTTTGATTAGGATTAGTAAAGTGGTTTCTGATGCATAGAAAGATTTGGATACCCATAAGTCATAGAGGATTTTCCCTTTTGTTGTTTATTTTGCTCAGATAAGGATTATTATATTTGGTTGGGTACCTGATTGTTTGAAAGGCTGATTCTTTCAGAAATGGTGATGAAACGCTTATAGTCTTAGATATTCCACATAAAATATCCAGGCCTTTTTACCGGATGTATTTCTTAAGTATCTGATGTATTACTTGAACCTGAAGTCACATTGCCAGAACATTTTGCAGTTTTATGGAGGTGGACCATGTGTGCGCGTGTGTGGTGTCTGTGTGTGTGTGCACGTGTAGTGTGTGAGTGCCCACATGTGCATGTATAGTATGCATGTGTGTGTGAGCACACATGCCGCTGTGTGACTTTCAGACTCAGTGAACAATAAAAGGCTGACCTTTGGTAGCTTTGGTGATGGTCCTGTGAGTCAGACCAGCAGTTAAGCATTTATCATTCAGTGTGGCTGTCTCCCCTCTTTTTGACCACACCAGTATTCGTGGAAACTTGTGCACCCAACGGACAAGTACTCCAACAAGGACTGCCCTGACAACGCCGAGGAGTATGAGCGTGCCACGCGCTACAACTACACCAGTGAGGAGAAGTTCGCCCTGGTGGAGGTGTGCTTTGTCTGCTTTCTCTTCCTTCTTTGACTCTGGCCTGAAACTGTCTTCCCTTTACAAAGCAAAGGCAAAAACATGAATGAACTGCTTATCTGATGTCATTGTATCTGTGTAGGGCGGCCCTTTGCATCTGTCACAGTTCTCAAAACAGAGAGTAAAATAGGTTGTGGGTTCCCAGTCTCTGCGTGGACACTCCCCTGGGGCAGTCGGGGTATGTTCTGAGTGAGAGCCTGGGAGCTGCAGCAGCTTCTTATGGCCACACACAAGAGGAGTGAGCCAGGACCTGGGTGTCTGAGGGAGAAGAGCCCCTTTCACAGCTGTGTGGTCCCCAGCTCTGCACTGTCATTAGGACCCTTTGGATGAATAGTTCTTAATTGCTCTGCCATCCAGTGTTTGGATGGAGATTTTATAGCTGTACATTTCCTGCCTTATTTAAGGAATCTTTGCATAGCCCAAGGTCATGAAGATGTCTCCTACATTGTCTTCTGGATGTCTTATTCTGCTTTCACATTTGGATCTGAAATGTCCCCACCAACCCTCCCAACTGCTCTTCTTGCCGCCTCTGTTGTGAGTCAGGTGACCATACCTGGGCAGGTGTGTTTCTGTTCATGTTCTAATCCATTGGTCAGTTTGTCTATCCTTTTCTAACACCCCTCTGTGTTAATTACAATAGTTAATCGTGTGCTTGGTAAAGCAGGTCTTTCTGTCTTCAAGAGTTCCTTAGCTATTCTTGCTCTTTGTATTTTCATGAACATTTTAGAATCACCTTTCCATGTCCCAGTGAAACCTGTTAGAATTTTTTATGAGGATATGAATAAACCTATAGATCATTTTAGGAAGAATTGACAAATTTATAAAATTAAGTCTTTTATGAATCTGGTATGTCCCTCCATTTGTTAAGATTCTCTAAGATCTCTTTTCATCTGTAAAACTTTTGCACACCTTTTCTTGGCTTTATTTCTAGGTATTTGATGGTGTATTTTAATTTTTTTCTAAATGTTTATCACTGATGTTTAAAAATCAAAATTATTTTTTGTATTTTCCTTGTATCTACCAACTTGTCTAAACTCACTTATTAATTGTAATAAATTACCCATATATTCTTTTGGATTTTCTACTTATATAATCATATCATCTGGAAATGATGACAGTTTTATTTCTTCCCCTTCTATTTTTTTTTAAATCACACTGGGTAGGATCCCTACTCATTAAATAGAAGGAGGCTCCAGGCATCTTTGTCTTGTTTCTCATCTCAAAGGGAAGGCTTTCAACATCACACCGTATGATATATTTGCTGTAGGTTCCTTATAACCACCCTTCCTCAGATCAGAAAAGTGGCCTTCTATTCCTTGTTTGCTAAGAGATTTTATCATGGATTTTATATTAGTTTTATAAAACACTTCTGCATCCGTTGAGATAGTTTTATGACTTTTTTATTCCATTAATGTGGTAGATTTACACTGATAGGATTTTTTGGGTCTGGTTTGATGTTAAGCTAGCCTTGCATTCCTGGTTTAAACTCAACTTGATCATGATATATTATCCTCTTTATATATTGCTGGATATAAGTTGTTAATATTTTGATTTGGATTTTTGCATCAAGGCTCATGAGTAAGAGTGGCTTTTGATAATATTTTTTCTTTCAGTGTTTCATTTTAGAATACTTTTAGATTTACGGAAAAATTGCAAAGGTAGTATAGTGAATTCCCATATACCCCTCACCCATTTTCACTTATTACTAACATCTTACATTAGTATTGTTACATTTTTAATAAGCCAGTATCAATACATTATTATTAGCTAAAGCCCTTGCTTTATTCATATTTCCTCACTTTTCTATAATGTTCTTCCTCGGATCCAGGATCCTACATCACATATAGTCATCATGTGTCCTTTGGCTCTTCTAGATCACGACAGTGTCTCAGACTTTCCTTGTTTGTGATGACCTTGACGGTTTTGAGGAGTGCTAGTCAGGTGTTTTTAGAATGTCCCTCAATTGGAATTTATCTGATTTTTTTTTTTTTTTTTTTTTTTTTGCGGTATGCGGGCCTCTCACTGTTGTGGCCTATCCCGTTGCGGAGCACAGGCTCTGGACGCGCAGGCCCAGTGGCCATGGCTCACGGGCCCAGCTGCTCCGCGGCATGTGGGAGCCTCCCGAACCGGGGCACAAACCCGTGTCCCCTGCATCGGCAGGCAGACTCTCAACCACTGTGCCACCAGGGAAGCCCTATCTGATGTTTTTTTTCTTGATTAGACTGGGGTTGTAGCTTTTACGAAGGAGGACCACAGAGCTGTTTTTATCACCTCACATCAGAGGGCCATGCTGTCACTGGTTCATCAGTGTGCTGTTGCCCTTGGTCACCTGGCTGAGGTTACCCACGCCGGCCATCGCCCCCTTTCATAGGGCGCTTTTGGGGAGGAAGTCACTGTGCTTAGCCCACACCTGAGGAGTGGGTAACATTGCTTTTTTATAACCTTCCACACTAGTTTTTGGATGCTGGCTTTGTAAAATGGCTCATAGCACTTCCTTCTTTTCTGTTGTCTGTAGTGGTTTGTGTAAGATGTTATTTTTTCCCTTAAATGTTTTCTAGCATTTATTGGTGAAGCTTTTCCTTTATGGGATGGTTTTTGAAACTTTCAATGTCTTTGCTATATGTAGGGGTATTCAGATTTTCTGTTTCTTCTTGTATCAGTTTTGGTAAGTTGTATTTTCAAAGGTTTTCTAAGAATCTTTCTAAATTTTCTAATTTTTGACACAGTTTTTTATAGTAAGTTCTCATCTTATTGGTAACAGCTTCCCCCCCGCCCCATACCATACAGTTCACCCATTTAAAGTGTAAAATCCAGTGCTTCGGGGGTACCTATTCACAGAATTGTGCAATCACAATCAAATTTGGAACATTTTTGTCACCTCAAAAAGGAACCCATTAGTAGTCACCCCCCCACCCCCATTCTCCCCTTTCTTCATCCCGCGGCAGCTACCCGTCTACCGTCTGACTCTGTATATTTGCTTATTCTGGGCATTTCATACAATACGTGGCTGTGATTGGCTTTGTTCACTTAACATAATATTTTCAAGGTTCACATGTGTATCAGTATTTCGTTCTTTTCATTGCCAAATCATATTCCATTGTATGTATATATCACATTTTATTTATCCATATTAGCTGATGGATACCTGGATTGTTTTAGTTTTTCACTTTTGAGTAATGCTGCTATGAACTTTTGTATATAGATTTTTGTGTGGACTTGTTTTCGTTCCTTCTGGTGATACACCTAGGAGTAGAATTGCTGGGTCATGTGGTATCTCTGTGTTTAACATTTTGAGAAACTACCAGATTTTTTGCAAAGTGGTAGCACTACTTTACATTCCTACCAGCAGTGCTAGAGGGTCCCACTTTCTCCAACTCCTTGCCAACTCCTGATATCTGTCCTTTGATTCCAGCTATCCTACTAGATATGAAGTAATACCTCATTGTGGTTTTGATTTGCATTTTTATAACAACTAATGCTGTTGAGCATGTTTTCTGTGCTTATTGATAGTTTGTATATCTTTGGAGAAATGTCTGTTCAGATCCTTTGCCCATTTTTTAATTGAATTAGTTGTCTTTTTATTATTGCGTTCTCTATGTATTCTAGATACCAGTTCTTATCAGACATATGATTTGCAGTATTTTCTCCCATTAACTTTTTACTTTCTTCATGGGGTCTTTTGAAGCATAAAAGTCTTTAATTTTGATAAAGTTCAGTTTTTCAATTTTTCCTTTGGTTACTTGTGCTTTTGGTGTCATATCATAAGAAATCACTGCCTAACCTAAGTCACAAAGATTTATTCCTATGTTTTGCCTCATATATTTGAGGTGTGATCCATTTTGAGTTAATTTTTTTATGGTGTGGGGTAGGGTGTTCTGTCAGGGGTCCCCAAGACCACCCTCAGGCTAGATTTGCTGGAAGGACTCACAGGACTAAGTAGCTGTTATATTCAAGGTTATGATTTATTATACCAAAAGGACACAGATTAAAATCAGCAAAGGGAAAAGACACCTGGGTGAAGTCCAGGAGAAACCAGGTGCAAATTCTAGTGTCCCTCTCCTATTGGAGCTGCAGGGGATGTGCTGAATTCTCCTGGCAGTGATGGGTGATAACAGATGCAAAGTGTTGCCAACCAGGGAAGCTCACCTGAGCCTTGGTGTCCAGGAATTTTATTGAGGGTCAGTAATGTAGGCATGTGGCACATGCACGATTGACCTCAGCTACTCAGACTCCAGATCCAGAGCAAAAACAGCTGTTTGCTATAGATCACATTGTTAGCATAAAATATCTGGTGAAACTGCTATTGCAATGGCCCAAAGCCTCAGGCACACAGACATTCTTCAGGCTGAGTATTCCAGTGGCTGAGTTGGTTCCTAGGAGCCAGCCAAGGGCCAGACCTTTCCTGGGAACGTGCAGGGTTTGGTCATCCCAGGCCTGCTGAGATGACCCTTTCCTACACAGGAGTCCAGCTTCATTCTTTTGCTTGTGGATATTCAGTTGTACCAATACTATTTGTTGAAAAGATAATATTAGCCCATTGAATTATTTTCACACCCTTCTTGAAAATTAATTGACTATAGATGTGAGGGTTTATTTCTGGACTCTTAATTCTATTCCACTGATCTGTATGTTTATCCTATTCCCGTATAGTCTCGTAATCTCTTAATATTTGTAAATCGTGTGGTAGTGTCCCCTCTTTATTTGTAATGCTTGTAATTCATACCTTATCTGTTTTTTTTTCTTCATCAGTCTTGCTGACCATTTGTTTGTTTGTTTATAAAACAGCTTTATCTTAGTTGATCACCCTCTATTATATACTTGTTTTCTATTTCATTAATTTTTGCTTTTAGATATTCATTTCCCTCTACTTTTGGAGGGGGTTATTTTGTTTTACCTTTTTATAAATTAGTGATCAGTATTAGGTTATTATTATCTTTAGGCTTTTTTGTTTTCTAATATATGCATCCAAAGTTCCAAATTTACCTTTCAGCACACCTTTTCCTACATCCCATAAGTTTGAATCTATAATAATTTCATTTTCATTCAGATTGCTGTGAATTTGAATTCAATTCAACTTCAGTTGGAGAATTTGCTTTTTATATAGAAAATTTCCCTTTTTTTTCCTCATTAGAAAAGCAACCCAGATTCGTCATATAAATCCTCAAAGCAAACAGAAAACACACATGTGAAATGAGGACAGGATCATGTCTCTGATGCCATCACAAAAATGAACTTCAAGCAGTTCAGTGCATTTTCTTCTGACCTTTTTATGCATATTAATTCACTGTACCATTATTGTTTAACACAGGGGTTCCCAACCCCCTGGCCACACAGCAGGAGGTGAGCGGCAGGCGAGTGAGCGAAGCTTCATCTGTATTTACAGCCGCTCCCCATCGCTCGCATTACTGCCTGAGCTCTGCTTCCTGTCAGATCAGCGGCGGCATTAGATTCTCATAGGAGTGCGGACCCTGCTGTGAACTGCGCATGTGAGGGATCTAGGTTGTGCGCTCATTATGAGAATCTAATGCTTGGTGATCTGAGGTGGAGCCGAGGCAGTGATGCTAGCACTGGGGAGCGGCTGCAAATACAGATTATCATTAGCAGAGAGGTTTGACTGCACAGAGACCATAATAAATAATTGCTTGCAGACATGTATCAAAACCCTATCAGTGAGTGGCAAGTGACAATTAAGCTGCATCTTACGGAGTAGACTGGACATAAGCAACACAGTTCGGGTATCACTGTCTCCCATCAACCCCATATGGGACCATCTAGTTGCAGGGAAGCAAGCTCAGGGCTCCCACTGATTCTGCATTATGGTGAGTTGTATAATTATTTCATTATATAGTACAATGTAATAATAATAGAAATAAAGAGCACAATAAATGTAATGCACTTGAATCATCCCAAAACCTTCCCCCCGATCCCATCCTCAGAAAAACTGTCTTCTATGACACCGGTCCCTGGTGCCAAAAAGGTTGGGGACCGCTGGTTTAACAGATGGGATTTGGGTTACAAGCTTGTAACTTCTTTTTTCCTGTCCAGATAATAACAAATTTGCTTTCCTGAATCTTTTTCTGTTTTGTTGAAGTCTTTCACAGAGAGGTGCACCCTAAGGCATTCAGCAGTATTTTGAGTCAGTTACCAAATCTCCATGTTGGCTCCAGGCCAAGCAGATCTGTCCCTGCCCTCGAGGCACTCATGGTCTGATGGGGTCAGACCTAGGAACAGGGACAGCTGCAGGTAGGAACAGGGACAGCTGCAGGTGCAGAGCAGAAACACAGGAGGCCAGGGTGAGGCCCTGTGCTTGGGGGAGGCAGTCTCCTGGCATGTGTCAGGCCCATGGAGCTCAGCTGTGACCCTCCAGCACACTGAAGATGATGTGTCCATGCCCCTGCAGGTGATCGCCATGATCAAAGGCTTGCAGGTGCTGATGGGCAGGATGGAGAGTGTGTTCAACCATGCCATCCGCCACACTGTCTACGCCGCGCTGCAGGACTTCTCCCAGGTCACCCTCAGGGAGCCGCTCAGGCAGGCCATCAAGAAGAAGAAAAACGTCATCCAGAGGTCAGCCCTGCTGCACACACTCCCTGCACGGTCATCCAAAACTGAAGGATCAGCTTAGGTTTGAACAGCTGTAGAGTTAACATTTTCATAAAGTGCATTTATATTCAACCTCCAGGCACCCTTTGGGTAAATTTCCTCTAAATGTAATGCAGTGGGTCCAATTATTAACCTGAGCAACCCACAGTAAATCAACTACAGAAGGTCCAGGCAGTCTGGAGACCCAGGGACAAGGGTGTGCTTATCTGGGGCCTGGGATTGTCTCAGAATCTGTCTGGCAGTTCCGTTCACCAGGCCTGTAGGGACACACAACCCAGAATCTCATCTCCCATTTCTTCAGTATTTTTGCTTCTGTTCCTTCTCGCCTGTCTTACAAATGAGTCAAAAACTATTGCTTTGGCCAAAAAGTTTGTTCAGGTTTCTCCGTAAGAGGTTACAGAAAAACCCGAATGAACTTTTTGGCCAACCCGGTACATACATATTGCAGAGTTCCTGTAGCAATCTTGAGCTAGTTTTCTATTAATGTTTAGCCTTTTAGATAAAGTTTTCTTTCAGAGACATTTACCTAGAATGAAGCTCACAGGGACTCACACATGTACTGATTTCATTTTGTTGCTTTATGGTTGATATAATTGTCACCTGCTATGGTATGACTTTAGCATTATTAAGATCTTACACTGTGAGGTTTCCCAGTTTTTGTTCTCTCTCCTGGAGGACTTAGTAAAGGTTTTCATATTTTCAGTAGTGCCTCGGTTTTGCTCACGCTTACTGTGATGGAGCCTCGCCACGTGGGAAATGTGCAGCGTAGTCTTAGAGTAACTCTGGATTTAGCTAGAGCTTTCCCCGTGAGGTGATTAGGATGGGCGTGTGGGTGTGGCGTCTGCCCTGAGGGTGGCGCTGTGGAGGACACCGAATGGTGGAGCCCTGTTGGGAGTGGGGGCATCCCGATGTCCAGGTGAGTTGGGGACACGGGCAGAGTCCCCAGTATTGTGCTGGTGACTTCAAATTCAAGTTAGAAAATGGGATGACTTGCAGGGAGGTTGAGTTTCAGCTCTGGGTGACGTTTGGGGTCTATCCTCTTGCTGCCCTGAGTATGTCTCAGTGTTCAGGAAATAAAACATCACATCTGGGCTAATTGATGCAAAATGCAACTACATTAGATCCTCTGAGGGTAGTAATATCCCCAAGAAAACGATCTATGTTTAAAGTTTCACGTTGAACTGGTCCATTACCACGTCTCCCCTCTGCCTCCGGAGGGATTCATGTGTGAGAGTTGTCTGTGTGAGAGGCGAAGCGATGCTGTGACTGTAAAAGTGCCGAGCGTATCAGCACTGCCTCTGCCCTGACAGCTTGACGGGCGTTTTAGTGTCCTGCAGGCCATCAGGAAGACCGTGTGTGACTGGGAGACAGGGCACGAGCCCTTCAACGACCCGGCCCTGCGGGGCGAGAAGGACCCCAAGAGCGGCTTTGACATTAAAGTGCCACGGCGCGCCGTGGGACCCTCTAGCACGCAGGTTCTTGTTCCCCGATCCCTTGTCGCTGCCTGTTCGCCTCAGTGGGCTGACCCTGAGCTGGGGGCTGGTAGGGGGGCTGGGAGTGAAATGACCTCACCGCTGTCTGCTTGGGCAGATAAAGTACTGCTTGTGTCTTTTTTGCTCCTTTATTCCTCGCCCAGGTGAATCTGGGGTGCAGACACCCTGTGATTCTTGGGTTTGGTTATTTGCATGCAGAACTTTATTTGACTGCATGAACCCCTATCCCAAAAATGTGGGTGAGAGTCTGTGTGTCTGTATTTATGCTGTGTTGCCTGGTGGGTGTTTAAATGTATGGTTATAATTTTTATGTTGGCTCTAAAAATGATCATTCCTAAAGATAAAATTTTTGGAAATTTAAAAACATACTTCGGTGTGTCTGTGGTCTTCAGCTGCCACTGCTGCACCCTCTCCTGGCATACTCAGCTCCCTTCTGCCCCCAGGCAGCTTTTCTCTGACCTTCATACCTGATTTACTATGCCCTTTGGCTTTTCCCCTCCTGTTTTGGGACTTTGTACTTCTTACTCATCATCTCTGTGTTGGGGGCTTTTAGAATCGCTCTGTCAGTCTTTTAGAGAATTGCCAGCAGAGCATGTTGCTGGCTGTGTATGAAACCTCTGGGATACCTGGGAGGAAGTCATTGCTGCCCAGAGAGGGTGCCGTCTGGGGTCTGTCCGTCCCCTGTCTGCCAGCACACAGGCGCCCTCCTCACTCGTCCGCGTGTCTGTCCCCGCCCTGTGCTGCGTGTGACTAACGCTGTCTCCGCTCTCCTGTCTGTCCGTGTCTAGCTCTACCTGGTGCGCACCATGGCGGAGTCCTTGAGCTCTGCTGAGCTGCTCAGGCAGCTCAAGTCTGTGGGCACGGAAAGGCTCTTGCATGTGGTTAACGCGTTTCTGAGGCAGTCCTACACCTATCCGCCTCTATTAACCTTTGGTGGTAAGACATTGTTTGTTTTTCTTGTTGGTATTTATGGCCCGAGGCGAAGGGTTCTGCTCCAAGTTCTTTGTCCCAAGCAGCAGCGACTTGGCCTCGTGGATGGGCGCTGCCCCTGCGAGCCTGCACGGTGTCCACGGGACAGTCCCTCTCGTGGTTTATCTGCGTTTGTCGTAACTAATGTGCCATGTATATTTTCTCCCCCGCAAATGTTTCCTTGGATAATGCAGCTTTACATGGTGAGAACCATGCTAGAGTCCCTCATTGCAGACAAAAGTGGTTCCAAGAAAACCTTGAGAAGTAGCCTCGAGGGGCCCACCATATTGGACATAGAAAAGTTTCATCGCGAGTCATTCTTCTACACCCACTTGATAAATTTCAGTGGTAAGAGCTACTGCTGACCAGTGTCCGGCCCAGCATGTTCTAACACCACTAACGCCGTCTAGAATGCTTCCGCCTGCCTGGTTGCCCCTGCTCTGGTCCCTTCACGCACCCAGGCAGTGACACAAGTTGCCACCCTCGTGACATTCCCTCACCTGTTGCTTTAAATGCACGGCTGGCTGGGGGTTCCCTCCATGTGGCATGGCCCTTAGAAGGGTGAGGCCTGTGGGCCCGGGGCTGGCCCAGTGACCTGGACGCAAAGTCTTTGTAACCTGAACTGGGTCAGCAACACAGGCCAATGTGACTGTCACCTGGCTCGAGACGCAGGTGGTGATAGATATCAGAAGCCACCCACGACTGCAATGTATAGAAGGCGGCAGGTGACCTGACGTGCACAGCCCGTCCTAGGGTGACTGGGGCACGTGTGGATGCCCTTTGTCATCGTGGAGCCGTCCACGTTTCTTTCTGTGCTGCAGCCATTATCCAGGGTGGGAGGCCTCTGTCTTGGCTGCAAGTGCTGCAGGTTTAGAGTAATAGTAAGGTTTTTGTTTTTCTCTTCATAAAAGGATGGAAACATTTTTTTTTTTCAATCTGTCTATTTCGCATTAGATAGACCTACACCAAGTGTGCCTGTAATGCTGTGTCTGTATCCCGTATAAGATAATCCCACCAGAAGGCGCGCAGTATTGACTAGCTCCTGTTGGTGGGCGGTGGTGTCCGTGCTGGGCCCATGGGGCTGGATGCTGACTCTGCTCTGTTTATGAGTGAGAATCAGCACGGCCAGGTGGCTTTGCCTGTGGCCACACTGCAAGGCACACGTGACCCCTCACTGCTCATGTGCACTCTCTGCAGCTCAGGGCTGAGAGCCTGGCACGCGCCCCCTCGCATTGTCCTGTGCAGTCTTCTCTGCTTGTGGAATATTAATGTGGTGTTATTTGAATTCCTTAAGAGACGCTCCAGCAGTGCTGTGACCTTTCGCAGTTGTGGTTCCGAGAGTTCTTCCTGGAGCTGACCATGGGCAGGAGGATCCAGTTCCCCATTGAGATGTCCATGCCCTGGATCCTGACAGACCACATCCTGGAGACCAAGGAAGCGTCGATGATGGAGTGAGTGTCCTGGAAACCTGTCCCAGCCTCCTGTCTGTGTGATTGAGGCCCTTGGTGGCATTTGGGAGCCGGGAGGTGGGGGAGGGGTGACTATTCTCAGCACTTCATTTGAAGTCGTCATTCTTCTTTTTTTTTAATTTATTTATTTTTGGCTATGTTGGGTCTCCGTCACTGTGCGCAGGCTTTCTCTAGTTGTGACGAGCGGGGTCTACTCTTTGCTGTGGTGCGGTGGCTTCTCTTGTTGCAGAGTGCGGGCTCTAGGCGCATGGGCTTCAGTAGTTGTGACGTGTGGACTCAGTAGTTGTGGCTTGCGGGCTTAGTTGCTCTGTGGCACGTGGGATCTTCCCGGACCAGGGATTCAACCCGTGTCCCCTGCATTGGCAGGTGGATTCTTAACCACTGCGCCACCAGGGAAGTCCCTGAAGTCGTAATTCTTGGGGTGAGACTTAAGATATCAATACAAGGAACAGGTAGGTGTCCTGGCTTCAGACTGAAATCCAGAGCTGAGGCAGTAGAGCTAATTAAGTCCACTGTGTCCAGGTGCTATGAGGCCTGGGAACTTGGCAAGGGGAGAGGTGGCCTGGCATGGCCTCTGACTCAGATGGATTTGGGAGAGGAAATGTTCATTGAACATCTTTGTTTAGAGTTTGAAGCTCAGGGTCAGGGCAGGGGGTCAGAGATTTTGAAAATATGAAGTCCATGGAGGGAAGGTAATAGCAAACGGGGTGTCATGTAGTGAGCAGATTGGGGCCCTGCCTAGCGGGTCCTCCCGCCACCGTCCTCGCCTGTGCACGTCAGGAGGGCGGCCTTCCCTCACTCTGCAGCAGCCGTAGTGTCTGTTCTGTAGCGTTAGAGGCCTTGATGAGCGTGTGTGCGCCTCTAGGGCCACATTGGGCCCTCTGCTTACGTGCCTCAAGCCCTCAGAGGGACCTTACTTCTGGAGACCGTCGGCTACCACCGTTTGTCCAGGGAGAGAGGGGCTTTGGCCACACCAGGTGTGCTCAGGGTCAGCTCTGGGGCCCAGGACCTTTGTATGTTTTTCTTTTTAAGTCGGACAGTTTGTTCTTAAAAATAAGAAAATGACTCATTCTTGTGGTTATTAAAAATACTGCAGAGTGGGGTGAAAATCTTTGAAACGCGATAACTGAGAAGATGAAGTTGCAGGAGGCCCTTGTGGACCCAGCAGGCGCTCTGGGCGTGGCTGAGCCAGGCATGTCCTGCCAAGGGTCTGGCCAGCTTGCTGGGGCCTCTGTTAGGGCCCTCACAGAAGCCGAGTTTGGCATTTGAAGTAAGAGATTGTTTTTCCTCATGAGAGAGGAAGACAGTGAGGGTTACATTTCCCGTGGAGGGCAGGGTGTGAGAGCCGAGAAACCCCGTGTGGGCGGCTGGCCTGACCTCTCTCCCACTCTGCAGGTACGTCCTCTACTCGCTGGACCTGTACAACGATAGCGCCCACTATGCCCTCACCAGGTTCAACAAGCAGTTTCTCTATGACGAAATCGAGGCAGAGGTGAGGGCCCAGGCACTTTTAATAGACTTTTAAAAATTTCCTTTTTCCTCTGAGTGTTAGAGGGAACAACCTTTCTTTTTAATACAAGGAGGTTCAAACAATGGAATGAACTTTGAAATAAACATTTTGGGGTGGACCCTTCTATCTGCACTTTTTTCTATGCATCCACACAGGATGATTGGGGTCTTAAAACATCAGCTGTTGGGGGACATCCTTTTCACGTGACTGCATGTCATGAACACTGCATATCTTGCCTGTTTCTTTCATGAACACAGTCTAGAGCAGGGGGCATTGTACAGAAGAGATGCACTGAACCAACCTCTATTTAATTTCTCTAGTTTTAGCTTTTTATTTTTAATTATAAATAATGCTTTGATGAACTTCCTTGCACGTGTCTTTTTAGTTGTATTGGATTATTCTTGAGGACAGATTCCTACAAGTGGAATTATTAAGTCTGTGTACATGCAGCTAAGGAGAAAAATCTTACTTTCTAGCTCAAGATGTAAGAGAATTTAACCTCAGCAGATTACATTATACATCTGGGTCTCCTTCCCCATATCCTCACAAAAACCACAGGAAGTGCTTCTTTGGGGAGATGTCATGGGCTCCCGGGTGAGGCAGGGTGGGCTGGGGACAGAGACCCGTGGGGTCCTGGGGCAGCTCCGCTCTGAGCACAGGGTGTCCTCATCCCAGTTCCGGGGGGGTATGTGCTAGCCCCATTTGCAAGTGAGGATACAGTTTTGAGGGTGAAGTCACAGACTGTGTCCACCCTGCAACTCTGACCGACGTTGGGAGCCCAGAGGAGGCCACGGGCAGCGGCTCTTGGGACATACAGCCTGGAGTCAGGAGCTGCCCCCAGATGTAGTGCACGATAGCCCCTGGGAGCACGTGAAGAACAGAGACTCTCTTATATTCCATTGTATTTAAGAGAATTGGAGCATTTTTCTCCATCAGTAAGCAAGGTTCCGACGTAATTTTCAGTGGTGGTGTGGTGGTCACTCCTGGTCCCACTGAAATGGATTTAATCTGCTATTGTTGGACAGTAAAGATGTTTCTGTTTTCTCATAAGAGCCTTTTTTAGTTGCCTTAACAAAGGGTTGGGGTTTTGTTTTGTTTTTTAATTCAGTCCCCAGAACTTATTTATTTCATAACTGGAAGTTTGTACCTTTTGACCCCCTTCCCCCAGTTCTCCCATGCTCCACCTCTGCAGCCACCAATCTGTTCTCTGTATTTATGGGTTTGTTTTTGTTTTTTTTTAGATTCCACATATAAGTGAGATCATGCAGTATTTGTTTTATTTCACTTAGCATAGCACCCTCAAGGTCCATCTGTGTTGTCAAAAATGGCAGGGTTTCCTTCTCTTTTATGGCTGAGTAATATTCCATTTGTGTGTGTGTGTGTGTGTGTGTGTGTGTGTGTGTGTAGATACCTTCTTTATCCAATTTATCCATCAGTGGACACAGGTTGTTTCTATGTCTTGGCTGTTGTGCTGCAGTGAACCCTGCAGTACAGATATCATTTTGAGTTAGTGTTTCCATTTAAATACCTAGAAGTGGAATTGCTGGATCCAAAAAAAAATTTTTTTTTAAGTTCTGTTATTTGATCTTGGTTTAGGGAAGCTTTTTTGGGGCGGGACGTGCCATACCACACAGCTTGGGGGATCTGAGTTCCCTGATCAGGGATTGAACCCAGGCCCTTGGCGATGAAAGTGCAGAGTCCTTACCACTGGACCACCAGGGAATTCCCTAGGGAAGCAAAATTTAATGCACACTTTCCTTTCCTTTCCTTTAGGTGAATCTCTGCTTTGACCAATTTGTTTATAAGCTGGCCGACCAGATATTTGCATATTATAAGGTTATGGCGGGAAGGTGAGTATGTGTTTGTAATTTGGGTACAAAATCTTGGGCAACTTGATCTGACATTTCCATTAAAATTCACAGCACGTGAGAAATTGTCCTCTCTTCCTTCCATGCTAGTTTGCTTCTTGACAAACGGTTACGATCAGAATGCAAGAATCAGGGTGCAACAATCCATCTCCCGCCATCTAATCGCTATGAGACGCTGCTTAAGCAGAGGCACGTGCAGGTGAGCCAGGCCTTTCCTGGGCACAGTGAGGCATGGAACCGGCAGTGGAAATAGTGGGGTTTTCTTAGAGCTCCTCAGGTTTTAATAGATGTCAGTATGTATGTGGCTGTGGGACCATCCACGTAAAGAGCTGAGGTTTTAAAGATAAGCAGTTTCTCTTGGATAACCTGACACACAAGGGAAGGCTGCCCTGCGCAGTTCCCAGGAGGCCTGGCCCAAGCACAGCTCCTCTCCAGGAGCCCAAAAGACAGAGCTTAAAAGAAAGAAGATGTGGACTCTAGTCAGCTCAGAGTGGTGGGGAGGAACTGCTTCTTGGCCAGCACAAACAGTAATAATACAGTGCTTGTTTTTTTTTTGTTTCTTTAAAAATAACGTATATACATCACCAAAAGGAAAATACAGAAAACTGTAGG